GCTTTTTTTTTTTCAGATATTTCATAAATGTCTAACCTCTGCTATTCTGACTTGAAGTATACCTCTACACAACAGTATGTGTGTATTTGCAAGGGTTTTAATTTAATTAACAGCTAACTAATGTTCTCTAGTCTTATCACTAAATCCCCAAAGGAAAAATAATATAATTTCAAAACTGTATTCATCATAAAAATAAAAGTAAGCAATCCTATACATATAGGACTATATTAAAGGCCACAAAAACTTATAGGTTTTTCTTTTTTGCCTCTAAAAGCAAATCATCTGAGATAAACAGAATTAAACAGAAGTACCCAAAACATTCCAAACTGAACAGCTAGCCAACTACTACAAAGAAAATGTGTTAGCAGGCTAATACTTTGTGCCTGTTGGGAAGGAGGGGGCAGGATTGGCATTGTGTATGTGAGAGGGCTGAGAAAGGACCAGGAAAGCTAACTCATTACTATTAGTGCAGTGTTTGCAGGAGAACTTCAAAATTGTTGTAAAGAAAATAAGTTGAGGCTTTTATGGAAGAAAAACCAACAGAGTCTTAAAGCTTCCTACATGTGACATCAGTCAGAAAGAGCCTCAGCTGGGCCTGTGGCTCAAGGCTGCAATCTCAAGTACTTGGGAGGGAGATGAGGAGACAGTGAATGAAAGGCTTCAGGTGTCTGTGGCCCGTCCCGATCACACACACAGACACACACACAGAGACACACACAGAGACAGACACAGACGCACGCACGCGCGCGCGCACACACACACACACCCATCTCTAGTGAGCTGTCCTTGCTGCACTTCTGCATTTGGCACTGCTGAAAAGAGGCATTTAACAGTTTCTGTTGGAGTCAGCTAGTCTTCAAAACAAACAAACAAACAAACAAACCAACAAATAAAACATTCTAATTGTTTCCTTTCCCCCAGGATAAACACTACCCACCCCCCACTATGCTGATTCAGTGAATCAAAAGAATCCTTTAGTTTCTATTTCTATTATTTCCCATATGGTCTAGTGACCCCTCATGGAAAACATTAGGGAGCAAATAATGGATGTGTCACTCACATCTGTGAGAAATTTCTTTAAAACAAACCAATTCAAGAATGCTGGCAAGTGACCACCACCATGATTCCTCAGTTTAAACAAACATTTTCCCTACGTTTGCTCACTAATTTCCATAAGATAGTGCACGATGGAGTTAATTATTCAAGGGACTGAGCAAAGACGCTGATCCACATATGACTACCAGGAAAGACTGCTTTTCCATGATGTTCATTTTTAACCGAGAAGTTTACACTGAACTCTCACAACGAGTTGACCTACTTCAAAGAAAAAAAAAAGTTAAATCCTGTCAGCTAACCAATGTAAAATATAAACTTTCAAAAGCTAGCTCTGCAGCATGATGACAGAAAGACAAAAAAAAAAAAAAAAAAAAGAGTAGTTTTTGCTTTACTACTAAAAACTGAAGCTACTGATGAAGAGAAAGGGGGAAGGGAAGAGAGAAGGAATGGGAAAGGAGAGAGAAGGGAAGGATGGAAGGAAATAGTAGAAAAAGTCAGGTGACAGATGCAAATGGATTACTTTGTGAAGTGGGGTGCCGGGGTGTGGGGGGTGTGTTGGGCCTGGTGAGATGGGTGTCTGCCTCCCTGACAGGTCCTCCCTGTTCAATATTATGCTGGCTCCTTGGCAGGACTATGATGGAGTTCCACACAGTAGGACGGCAGTGTGTCGGCAAAGCTAATTCTTTCTCAAGTCCACTGAATCTACTCCATGCCTTCCTCCTCCCTCGGGTGAACTGCCAGCAGTCAGGTGTTCCTTCACTTGAACGCCCTCACCCTGTTCTCTGTCTTCACAATCACGGGCATTACCCTACAGGTGTGTCTGCCTCTGCACCTGTCGATCCTGTTGACAAGGATGCCTGGTGAACAGGGGCCTGTCTTGATTTCTTTTCCTGTTATTGCGATAAAATGCCCTGAACAAGAGCAGGACTTACTTTAGCTCATAGCTCGGGCTACATGCCATCCTTGTAGGAAGTCACAGCTCTAGAACTTGAAGACAAACTCATTACCTTGCATCCAGAGTACAGAAGCAAAGAGTGTTGAAAACATGCATGATTATGCTCAGCTCACGTTGTCTGTTTTCTCTACAATCCCCTTTTAGGCTGTGTCTCCCAAGATCAATGAACATCATCAAGACACTTCCCCACAGGCATGTTCATAAGCCAACCTTGTCTCCACTATCCCTACTGAAGCTTTCTTTTCAGATGATTCTAGAATGTGTCAGGTTGACAATTACAACTACCATTAACGCTAGGTATTACACAGCTGTTATGTTTCACGCCATAGTTTCTTTGTCTATATAATATAAATCACGCTTCTGTCTTCATAAATTATCACATTAAGAGCTGCCGCAGAATTTATTATGTAGTAGCTTATCTAATCTACCTACAACATACTCTGTGAACATTTCAGTCCTTCTGTTGTTTCCTCTTCTATGTCCATTTCCTAGGTGCTAACTTGCCTTTTGACCCCGCCTCTGTGGCACAGCAGGTAAGACAGAAGTATCTGAGGGAGGTGAAGTCTAGAAAACCAGAACCCAGTAACAGCCCCTCCCAACTGACAGGCCCTGGTGAAAAGGACAGGGTGGGAGTCCTCCAGAGAAAGGACTTATGGCGGAGCTCACCAGGCAGCTGCCACTTAGCACACAGAAATACCTTTTACTTCTTGTCCAGTATCATGTCTCAGGCTGTCCAAATATCCAGAAAGAATCTCAGCCTAGACTACAGGAGGATGTTTGGAGGCTAGATAAAAGCCTGCATTCCTTGATTTGTTGCTGTTTAACTTCTTAATTTCTTTATATATTCTGGATATTAGCCCTCTGTCAGATGTAGGGTTGGTGAAGACCCTTTCCAAGTCTGTAGGCTATCATTTTGTTCTCATGACAGGGTCCTTTGCTTTACAGAAGCTTTTCAGTTTCATGAGGTCCCATTTATTGATTGTTGATCTTAGAGCCTGTGCTGTTGGTGTTTTGTTCAGGAAGTTGTCTCCTGTGCCAATGAGTTCAAGGCTCTTCCCCCACTTTTTTTTCTAACAGTTTTAGTGTGTCTGGTTTTATGTTGAGGTCTTTGATCCACTTGGACTTTAGTTTTGTGCAGGATGATAAGTATGGATCTAGTTGCATTTTTTCTACTGACATTCCAACCAAGGACCATGCATGGAGATAACTCAGAACCTCCGTACAGATGTAGCCCTCGGCAGCTCAGTTTCCAAGTGGGTTCCCTAGTAAGGGGAATAGGGCCTGTCTCTCATAGGAACTCAGTGGCTGGCTTTTTGATCACCTCCCCCTGAAGGAGAAACAGCCTTACCAGGCCACAGAGGAATACAATGCAGCCAGTCCTGTTGAGACCTGATAGGCTAGGGTCAGAGAGAAGGGGAGGAAGACCCCCCCTATCAGTGGACTTTGGGAGGGGCAGGGGAAGAGAAGAGGGAGGGAGCGCAGGATTGGGAGGGAATGAGGCAGGGGACTACAGCTGGGATGCAAAATGAATATTTAAAAAAATTTTTTAAGCCTGTATTCCTTGGGAACTTGTAAAACCAGTTCCCGTCTGCCAAGACATCATTTCCCCTTCCCTCTGGCAGAAAGGCTACCTGTGGTTACATATCAAAGCTCATGCTGGGGGAGGGAACAGCTCCTTTAGTCTCATTCTAGCTCGTCCAACACCATCTGCTTCAAGCCACTGAGGAATCAGACAGGTTCTGGGAAGAAATGGACACCCCAGGTCTACTCAGTATTCTGGGTATGAAACGTTTACTCTTCACTGAGAATTTTAGCCTGCAAAGCCCCTACCCTCCCTTTTCTGTTTTAGAAACAGTCTTACTAATAACCCAGTCTTGTCTTGAATTCCTGGGCTCAAGAGATCCTCTTGCCCCATCTTCTGATGAGGTGGTATTATAGCCTAGGTTTTTGTGAGCATAATAAAAGAAGGAAGGTTCAAGGATGTGTTATCAAGAGTTGGTAGGAGACAGAAGCACCAGATAGAATTTTAAATGTCCCCAAACTAGCCCCTTAACAGCTTCCCAGAAAGTCTTCTGAAGGCATGGAAAACACTTAGCTTCAAAGAGCATCATGGAGCTTAGTGAAAAGCTCTGGCTTTTTAAGAAAATAAGGAAGAGACTACCTGGCATGCATGGGTATTACAGTAAGGTTTAAAGGCCCTGGTGGTAACACTGATGACTTGGAACAGGCAGGTCAGATAAGCTTCACATGCAGATTTCATGGAAAGACCCCAATGCCAAGAGAAGTGTCTCAAAGAGCTAGAATCCTGTTGAAACAAGTCTAGTACAAATGGGAGACATTATAGATCTCTCAAGAAAGATAACACAAGCTATCTATCAGCTATCTCTCTATCTACCCATCTATCAGCTATCTATCTACCTACCCATCTATCAGCTATCTATCTACATACCTATCTACCTACCTGTCTACCTATCAATCTATATAGGTTGATTGAGCAAGTGACTTGGTGTCTTTTCTGAGTGTGCACATAAAATAATCATAAGTCTTAAAAATTATTTGAGTAAAACTTTTTCCATCTCAATTCTTATTTAATGGTGTTATATATATATATGTTATATATATATATATATATATATATATATTTTTTTTTTTTTTTTTTTTTTAAGGAAAAACACCCAAACACATGATACAATGCTGCTTGAACAGACTGCTTTCTTTAGATATCCATCCCACTTCCTGGGGACATAGCACACATTCCTGGGCATGGAAGACTAGCATTAAAGTAAAACCAGACAAACCTAGTGATTCAGACCCGAACTAAACAAAGGGAGGCTGAACTGACCTTCCGCAATGACCTAGCATCCAGTTCAAACTGGACACAGAAGTGAGGGATGGGGTCAGGGGGACAACCACTGTGACTGAAGGGAAAGGAAAAAAAAACCAAATATAGTACTAATTTGTTCCTGAAGAGGATGCCTCAGCCTCTCACCTGTCTACTGCTTCCACATCAAAGCAGAACCTCTTCTCGATGGAGTCTGTCTTCCGCCGCGTGCAGGATTTGAGGGTGACACACTCGTCTTCTCCCTGGCGGGAACACACAGACTGTCAAGGAGAGGCCAGAAGGCAGGTCTGCTCCCCTCTAGGAAGAGCATGGAACATGAACAGGATTTCACTTCCACTTTTCAAATCTGAGAGGGAACACCGACCATACAGCTTCTCAAGCAAGAATCTCCTCCGGCTAAGATCTGACACCTAATGTTTAGTTAGTACAGTTGGAGCATGGTTGCCACTACATAGTACCCGTCTGGCACTGCTGTTTTAACCAGGTTTGAAATGGAGAAGTGAAAAGAGTTGAAGGCAACAATGCCTTCCTAACTGAGCATCTGTGATCTTTGGTTCTTCAAGAAAAGTCTTCTGAAACACGTCAAAGATCCCTAAGATTTGCTCACATGGCACTGTGTACCTCACCAGCCCCATGGTACCAGTCTCAGCAAAAACTGTCTGCTGAGGTAGATGAGGATAAAATCTTGTCTTCCCACCACGTGTGATTTTACAAGACTGAAAGCACCCTAAGGACTGAGGCTTGTGGTCTTCTGCATCTTCTATCCAGGCTAGGTCCTGGATAGAAGAGGTGTTCAGTATATAACGGCTTTATTGATACATAACATATGATAAACTGCATATGTTTAATGTGTACAATTTTGTATCTGTGACATCTGTAGACACCCATGAAACTATCAATGAATCTGAGATAAACTTTTCCGTCACTCCCCACCCCTGCCTGCAAAATATTCTCATGCCCTTTGGTGATCCACCACCTCCTAGCTCACCTCCAAGCAACCGTTTTCTGCCTTCTGCTGTCGTGGGTTGGTTTGCACCTTCTGTGAGCTTATGCAAATGCAGGCACAGAGTAAGTACCTAGTTCTTGCATTAAGCATGAGTATGGTCATGTCAGGAACCATACCTCCATATCAAGAGTTGTTTCTTGTGACTGCTAGGTAGTGTGCTATTGTATAAGTGGAATGTGACAATCTCAGGGTACTCATTGGCTGCCTAAGCACACAGCAGGAGCTTTCCTCAACTTCTTTCTGTCACCAAGGAATCCATTATTGTTTCTGTTTCTCCTCCTTTTATCAATAATTAACAAATTCACCTGTCCTGCAGACAGTAAGATGAAATGTGACTTCAGAGGGTAGATATCACCACCTACCCACTAAAACCAGAAAAACACAATAATGCAGCCCTAGAAATAGACCATTCTTGTTCACGTGCCTTACAGCTATATCCACTTACTGGAGAGCAAAGATTAGTTTCTCATATTGAGAATTGATCCTTACCACTCTGTAAGATGCCTAAGTATGTTAAGTAAAAACTGTAAAAGGTTGCCTAGTAATCCCAGCTACTTGGGTAGCAGAAATAGGCATGTCATAAGATCAAGGCCTGCCAGGACTATATGAGTTCAAGGTTAGTCTAGACAACTTAGCAAAACCTACTTCAGAAGAAAAGGGCTGAGAATCTAGCTCTGCAATGAAGTGTTTGCCTACAATCAAATGCTCTGTAATCAAGGTGTTTGATTTGATGCCTAGCATCACAAGGGGACACTGTTTTAGAGTAAGGTCCTAACACACACACACATACACACACACACACACACACACACACACAAAAAAAAAATTCAACATAGAACAAATATTCCCCATCATGAAACTAAACTGTTTATCTGATCTCCCAAGAAACCAGAAATGAGAGAGTATGGTCCAACTGCACAAACAGACTTGTTTCAACTGTCAAGGAAAACTGAAGTTCTCTCGCTTCAGTTACTACTACTACACACACAGTAACCTAAATTAGCCTGATGTTAACTAGTTACTTATTTTCCCGCTGTTCACTCTCCTGTCCTTGTTTACAAAATAATAATAAGTTCCTGTTATCATTCTTTGCAATTTGGGGGGATCAAACCTGCAGCCTCCTACGTGCTAGGCAAGAGCTCTTCACCGACCAGGAGAAATCACTTTGAAATGACCAGTTTTTTTGTGCTGGTTCTAAATTCTTCAGCCTTCCTCTGTCATAAAACTAATTTCTACTGCTTCCCTTACCACAGCACTTGTTTTGTTGTATGTAACAATGTTGTATATAACAATAACTCTAGAACTGAAAATAAAGCTAGTTAGCATCTTTCAACTACGTGGTTCCAACTCTGTCCTGTGATAAGCGTTCTCATAAGAAATCTGACCTTGCTGATGTTCAACTACAGTTCACAGTTAAAAGCTATGGACCAGATTCTACTATGAAAGCTTAGATAAAGTACCATGAAAAAAAAAGTGAGCAACAGAGATCTATTAAGGATCATCAGACATAAGCATAAGAGGAAGAAGAAGAACCTTTACTCCCAGCACTTGGAAAGCAGAGGCAAGCTGATCTCTGTGAGTCCCAGGCCAGCCTGTTCTGCTTAACAAATTCCAGGCTAGCCAAGTCTACAGTGTGAGACATTCTCTTTAAAATTAAAAAAGAAAATTAAATATATTTTAAATAAAAAATATAAATAATTTTAAAAAGAGGACCACAAGATTTTGTTCTGATAAAAAAAAGCCTGTAAATTATCTGCTGAACTATTTACAGTTTTAAAAAGCAGATGTATTCACTTTAAAACATTGTAACTCTGCTATGATGGTTAAGATTGTCAACTTGACAGAATCTAGAAATACCTAAATCCTGTCATAGTCGTCTGAGCATGCCTTTGAGGATTTGCTTGATTAGATTAACTATGCTGGGGTGACCCAGCCTTAATATAGGTGGTGCCATTCCATAGGCTGAGGCCTTTGCAGAAAAAAGAACGAAAGCTAAGCATCGGCACTCGTGGCTGCCTGCCTCCTAACTGTGGGTACAGTGAGACCAGGTACCTCCTGTTTCTGCTGCTATGAATTCCCTGCCATGACTATGAGCTAAAAGAAACACTTCCTTCCTTAAGTGGCTTTTGTCAGCAAATGAAAAGGCCCTGTAGTCAGGATACAGGGAATCTGCGAGGAGCAGAGGAGAAGTAGGAATGTCTGGAAGCCCAGGGTAAGAGGTAAAAAGGAGAAAGAGGTTGAGAGAAAGCAGGAGCCAGTGATGCAGGATTATAGTCTTCATTCCGTGAGGACCTGGAAAGTAATGAAGGGTTGCGAGCAAGGACAGGGACAGAGCCAGGTCTGACTACTGCAGGCTTCAGAGGGTGCCTCTCCTAGAGACATTCTTAGCCACATATGAGGCCTGGTCTCCAAGAGGATGGAGCAAATCTGCTCACAGAATCAAGTCTGAGGCTGGGGTTAGAGAGGAGAGTAAGTACTATTAAAGGAAAACACTCTAAGTGAAAGGGGCCTAAAGGTCAACAAATATTGAGGAAGAATCATGGTGGGTGTGCAGAATACTAACTACATTAGGTATAAACAACAGTACCAATATACCACACGATTGTCCCAACTGCAAGGACATCACCTCCAGACCCCTGGACAGCTGTGCTCCTATTTCCTCTGCTGGAACACTAAGGCAACAGTGGCATCATGAAAAGATTTGGCTTCAGAAACAAAAGGTTCCAACTAACTCCAGACTGAGAGTCTAGTATGCTCATTCTGGAACTCAGGTGTATAAACTTAGAAGTAAATTGATCTTGCTGATGCCTAATCTCTCCCTTTTTAAAAAAAGGAAATCCCGATCAAACAGCATAACACAAGATAGTAGTACAGACCACTTCAAGGTGGAGCATAAATATAACCAGTTATGGTTAGGAAAATGACTGGTTACAGTGGCACATTCTTAAAGGACCTTTATCAGGCTCTGTACCACACACATGAGCTCAACAACCCACTGATGTACTCTATGGGATCTCACAGAAGTCCTTAGAAACCCAAACACCAACCACTGTATGGATCTCTTACCCTTCACTGACCAGGCAGAAAGGAACTGAGAAATATAACTGAGCTCATTAAAGACATGAATGATGGGAGTCCTGAAGCAAAGCCTGCAGAGGAGAAAAATCTAGTCTGCTGGTTTCTGGAAGGATTAATAGGTAGAAAAGGACCATGACCCATTTCAAACAAAGTAGGCTTACTTCTATGGAAACCAGGGAACACCTAAAGACTTAGGTATAATTTGCAATATTCTCTTCTCTCTCTGCCTGTTAATAGGGGTGTTTTCCTGAGATTATTTGTAAAAAAAAAATATATATATATATATACATATATATATACATATATATATATATATATATCAAAGGGGCTTTCTTACTGCCTAGATACAAGGAAGGAACAGATCTCTGTTCCAATGAAGAACAAAACTCTTCATTGCCACTGAAGTTAAAGAAATCCAGGAAGAAAAGTGGGGAGTTAAAAGGAGCAAAGAGCACTGCACAGCACTGCCAGAGCACTGGTACAGGCATGTCTAGTCTCAAAGAGTATGCTCTCTCAGCTTCTGCACTTGAATGCCCTCCAAACACTAACTCAACATGGTACACAAAATGTCCATAGAAGGTCAAGCTAGAGGCCTAGTAAAGTACTAACTTACCAAAATATTAGACACAAATGAAAAAAAAAACTATTTAAACCAAAGATAAAACCAGAGAAATTTCTCAAAACATATTTCAGTTATTAAAAAAAAGATTAAAAACATACAAGCTGAGAATGAAGGCAGAGACACAAGAACCAGTAGGGTTGGAGATCAGCCTGACTACACATGAGTTCCAAGCCAGTCTAGGCTACAAAGTGAAACTCTGTCTTACAAAAAGGCATGGGCAGAAGAGGAAAAATATAAAGATTCTTATTAAAACAGTTTAATATACTCACAAGGAAATAATAACAAAAGTTAGGGAAAAGCAAAATTCAAAGTTGGTAACTGGAGAATTGTTCCAGCTCTGAATTAAGGTAAAACCTTAAATCCAAAGTGGACAAAAACTTCCAAGCAATCAACTTAAAGAAAAGAAAATCCATCCTAGAGTATGATGAAATATAGAGTACTCAAAAGAGAATAGGTAGGAAGGCAGCCCAGGGGAGACACAGACCACCTCTATAGGGAAGGTATCTGACTGCTGAGAGCACAACAGAGTCAACTGTCAGGGCAGGCAAGAGGCAACAGTTCTGTAAAGGAAGGACCCTGGAGAACACAGGGAGCCCCCAAAGGCAGTGTCAGGGAGCCCACCCTAACCCGGCAGTCCCTTCTAAAACACAGCCACACACTATCTTCCATCCCACAGGGTCCAAGACCATGGAGATGGGGGAGGAGAGAAGGTGGAGAGAAAAAATTAGAAGTGGAAGAGAGCTCTGTCTAGAAAGCCTTGAGCCACCTCAGATCCACACTGCTTCCATTCTAAGCTACCATCAAATTGACTTGAGCCTCAACCTTCTACCCATCAAATGTTCCCCAAATTCCTGACCCACAAAGACTATGCAGAATATTAAGATAGCTGCTATGATTTTGATTTTAAAAGCTGCAAGGTTAGCAGGGTGTGGTGTCGCAAACCTGTAAACCCAGCACTCAGGGAGGCAGATCTCTGTGAGTTCAAGAACAGCCTGCTCTACAAAATGAGTCCAGGACAGCCAACATTACACAGAGAAACCCTATCTTGAAAAAAACAAAACTTGCAAGGTTTAGGGGTGACTTGTTACGCAGAAATTAATAATGGAGTCATCTAAATTGCCACTGGCAGCTCCAGGGATCAAGCAGAAGAGGCATAAATCAGTTTCACAGGATGACATCAATCAACTATGACTGTCTAGTAACTCACTGGTACCTGATACATTTAATAATGTGTACATGTACAACAAAAGACTGATAGTTACAGTTACTTAAGCTAACAATGATTATTCTAACCATTTTGAGGGCAATAGGCCTCCTGGAATTATTGCAGGAGGTTTATTATTCAAGAGTTTTACAGTGAAACCCTGGACTCTTAGCCACATACTGTTCTCATTACCTGTTAGCTGAGCAAACTAAGCAAAACATTTCCACAGTGCACTCACCCCCTTTCCTCCTGACTTTTGGTCAAATGGAACCATGGTGATCTGCTTGGAATCCCGCTGGTATGTACAGTAGTGCTTCACCCAAGAAGTTCCAAAGTGACCTGCAAGGGAAGATTGCCTATTAACCATCTCCGCACCCACTGTGTGCTGCACATCATTCCCTGCTCTAACGAGGAGACAGGCCACAATGCTCAGGCGTCACACTCGTGTCCACCCTGATGCTGCTTCAGGGGTACAGATCCCTATACGGCTAGACTGAAACACGTAGAAATCCAATCCCACAGGCTGAAAATAAAACCAGAACAATGCTTTCCTCACTCCAATCCACAGGATCACCACCTCCCACTAACATCGTATCCAGTGAGTCTTCAAGTACAGGGGAAATATCAGCTCCCTGGGAAGATGAATTTGTATTCCCATCATCAGTCTCTATTTGAAATTTCCATTCTCTTCCCTGACTGAGGTGACTAAGGAAACAGTACAGAAATGTTCTTCGAAGTGTCGGTCGCCATTTCCATCTGGGGCGATGACATCATGCCTCCCACACAGCTGCCCAGTGCTTAACCTCAGGGGTTCTGACCTACTTCCAAACCCCTAATTTTTACTTCAGCACAACTCAAAAAGATCTAAAAAGCAGACGTGGAAACCTCCGAGACACCAGAGATGCAGACTGGAAGTGACTAAATAGCTAAATGCAACCTAAGGTCTGTCTCAAAATTCTCCCTCAAGAAAGAGGACAAGACATCAGAGCACCAAGGTCCACCAAGGTCTCTGACTACACCTGGTGCCTGGCCAATGACTTTTTTTTTTTTTACAACAAAGTGCTATTAGAGGAAGAAAGGACTTGAAGGATTGAAGCCTGCAAGGACTTCAATCACTATTAGTTTTCAATGTTTGCAGAGATCACACAATAGCAATGGTGAAAATTAACAACATCATGTAAAGAGAGTAAGCAGCCACTTAGAAATCACTAATGGTTTGGCATGATTGCCATATACAAGTATTAAATATCATTTAATAACCTGGAAATGCAACACAGGTGCTAGAGAGACAGATTAGCAAATAAAGCACTTGTCTTGCAAGCATGAGGACCTGAGTCAGCTCCCCCAAACCCACACAAACATTAATCAATTAATTAAAATTTAATTTTTTTTTAAAGAAAGCCAGGTTTAGTGAGCATAGTTGGAGAGGTGGGGCAGCCGGAGCCTTCGGGCTTGTTAGCTAGACTGCCTAGTCCACTCAGTGAACTTCAAGCCAACGAAAAAACCTGCTCCAAAAAAACCAAGGTAATTGTCACATAAGGATCAACACCTTATGTTGGTCTCTGGCCACATATCTACGGGCATACATATATTATAGCCACAAGAACACACAGGTAGGCACAACCCACTGTCCCCACAGCACCGGTACACACACAGCAGTATATTAGTGTTTATATTTGGGTCATTGAAGGCAATTTAAAAGATAGCAAACCTTCTCAGACCTTGGGGAAGTTCCAGTGACTACACAACACAAAGATTCCAGAAGTGCTTTGTCTCAAACAGTGCAGACAGTGAACATCAAGGTGAATAAAGGAATACATTATAGCCTGTGAGTGAAATGTGAATCTTAAGGGTTTAGTGACAATGGAAAGACAGGATGGACAGATGGTCTGACAGGTGGACAGATGGATGGATAAAAATGATGGGTGAAAAGAAATAATAAAAATGGCAACACTGGTAAAAATGGGAAGACTCCAAGTATAGATCAGTCTAGGCAAGATTAGTAGATCACAACTCTAAGGAGAGAAATATGGCAAAGAGAAAGATAATGACGCAATTGTAAGGTGACTCCCACAGAATACCAGTTAGTTACAAAGGGAAAACAGTGACCATACAGTGAAGAGATGACGCAATGTCTTGACTAGATGGTGGAAATGAAGACCAGCAGGGCACCATGATGAATTATTACAGCAGAAGAGCTCAGGAAAGACTGAGTATTCATGACAGTAGTGCCTATCTCCTCATCCATACACAGATATAAAGGAGGAGTGATTAGAGCAAAGTGCTGAGAAATTGTGGCTTTGGATAAGTTCGTGTTATCTTTACACCCCTCTTGCAACTTTTCTGTGAGCTTGAAATTATTAAAACTAGTAAGTTCTAGAACTACACTGTATCCTTCTTTAAAAAAAAATTTAAATATTTATTTATTTATGTATGTATGTATGTATGTATTTTTTTATGTTTTTAAGTGTAGGAGTGCTCTGTCTGCATGTACATCTACATGCCAGAAGAGGTCATCAGATCCATTTATAGTTGGTTGTGAGCCTCTGGAAGAGCAGCCAGCATTCTTAACCTCTGAGCCAGTTTCATCAGTACCCTATACAATATCCTGATGAAATGGTTGAAGTAATGTACTAGGAAAGCAAAAGCAGTTCTAACAAAAATCAACATATTAGAATCAAAGAGCATGTAACATGTTTGAACAGGGTTCAAAGGTGCAAAGGTGATCCCGCATGTGTAGATGAAGAGGAGCAACGACAGTCTTTGTATTACAGGGGCAAAGTAAACCCTGTCTTGGCCTTCTGAGAATTTGTCTTTCTAAGTTATCTCCAACCATGGGCATTGGGATGGGATGAAGGAGTCCGACCACAGGGCAAAAAGGACATCACTCTATGATCAGGGAATAAAACACATAAATAACGTGACTTCTGCCTCCTACAAACCTCCTTGAGCTCATTCCTGAAAGAATAAGGTATATAAAACCCTTATAGTGGTCAATACTTCCAACCCACTTCAGTCCCCATTTTTAGAAGGGAACAATTTAAGCCCAAAGCAATTATGTGTGAGCCTTAGCACTAAGCAGATAATTGCTAAAACAGCGTGTTTCTAGCCTACTCTACCTGGAGCTTCAGGAGTGAAGTCACAGCCTAAGAGGACCACAGAGAAGAAGACAAAGCCAGCAGAGATCAGAAGGAGTACTGCATCTCCCTAAAAGCATGATGGGAAAAGCCATGCACGGTGGCACGCATGTATGTGACTCTAGAACTCAGAAGGAAAACTCAGGATAATCATGAGTTCAAGGTCAGCCTGGACTACTTAGCAAGATCCTGTTGAGGAGGGCTGCTGGCTAATAGAACTACCATTAAAGAAAAGAAAACATTCAATTTGTCTTATTCCTGGCACCTGTGGGTGCTACCCTGGGTGGCATACTCTCGAAGCCTTCCCCAAAGGCCTAAGGTGTGAACTGTGAGTCCTCACTAAAAACTGCATTCAAGTACAGCCCCTGTCATTTCTTCCCTTGAATGCATTACAAGAAGAGGGGCCTTCTTTCTGACTCTCTCATTTTTGTTTTGACTCCTCATAAAATCCAAGTATTGGTGTAACAAGAGTTGAGAAGAAAAGAAAGAGGGCCAAAGCCATGACTACTCTCAATTGAAAACAGAATCACCAAATATTAAGGTCCTCAAGAAGGTATGGTATGGTAAGACCTTGCCAACGTCCATGTGGTCAAGATGGAGTATACAAGCACATGAAAGCACAGAGGTTCAAAAGGAGAGTGACACTAGGAAGACAGGAACAACCACATAAAAATCCTAGAACAAAGAAGACAGAACGTATCACTTGGGGGTGGAAAAGACTGTGGACAGAGATCTGTAGGCACCGTCAGAAGCAAGGCCTGCCCAAGGCTGCAAGTGCACCCGACCCTACCGGTCAGCTCACTTACGTTTCTCCTGAACATAGAGGTATCCTTCCATCGTATAGGGGCTGATGGTCTTGTGCTCAAGGGGGTTTTCCTTCATCTTCTTCATCAGCGATTCCACTTCAGACCTGGTTCCTTCAAAGCGGTTTCTTGTCTGGGATGAAAAGAATTTTACTCAAATAATCAAATGAAGAAAAAAAAATCTCATAATAATTCAGAAGATCATCTAAAGCAGAAACCTTATACCTAAAGGCAAATAAGGGCCATTCAATGGTCTAGGAAATAAGCAAATATTCACTTGCAAAAGTACACCTTTGCTTTACAGTCCCATACCTGAATGAGTCAAACTCTAGCAACCACCAAGATCACCAAGGAAATTTACAAAGCATGCAAACAGCTGGCCTAACTCCTGAAGACAGGTAGCAGCTCTTGGATCAGGATGAGCATTTGAACAAGGATTTCAGAATAGTGTGACTTAGATAGAGCATTGCTTACGCACCTTTAGGATTATGGTCCTCAACACTCCAGTTGCAGGAAATTTAGCTTGCTGATGGAGCAAACATGGCACCCTCCCAAGAGGAGTGCTGCTGGATTTCTACGCCATTCCCTTACTGAGAGCAGCCTGAAACCCCTGGCTTCTACCCAGGCCCACTCAGAACCCCTGAGGCACAGCTTGAAGCCTCCAGCTGCAGCTGTTTCGTAGCCCAATGGCCCAGTACCCTCCATGCTCAGCCTCTCAGAAGCACTGAGTTACCTACTGCCTGTGAATCTCCTATGTCAAAGGCTGCCTTCAGAAGAATCCTGGAATTGGGTACAGCTTGCATAGCATGTTATAAGGACTTGTGTTTCATCCCCAGAATGAAAGTTGGGGGAGGGGTATTATGCTTTGTGAAACCATTTTTGTTATACTTCAACTGGTCTCCAAGTCAACAAGGAACCATGTGAAGTCCAGGCATCTAAAGGCCATGCAGTATAAGCCATGCAGAAAGAACTGGATCTAGTTCCTACACAGGAGTACCTTGAGGCTTGTGGTTAATCCCAAAGTCCAAGAGTAAAGCTTGCCCCGTGACTTATGGCTTAAACACCCTAAACAACACTGCACCCAAAGGTCCCATGTTTAAGCCAGAGAGACAACTCCATTCGGATGGCACTGACTTTGATGTCCTGTCAGTCTTGCTAAGAGCTGGACAAGAGCACATTACTTGAGCCCGAGGCCAACTCCCTTTCCCACTCCCAGACACTCACGTAATACCTAGGGTGGCCAGCAGCTGCTTGCACACAAGGCAGCTAGGCAGGGCTGGGCTGAACTGGAATTTCCACTGCCAAAGGAAATCCTGACCCTGCTATGAAAAACACACATAACCAGCAGCAACACTTCTGGCACACAAATGGTGCTTTAGGCCTGGGCCATCTTGCATTCTAGAAATATCAGATCCCGGCTGTCCTCTGAGCCTAGCCAGGACCCCACCTCACACACCTCATTCCAATACATGAGGGGAAGCTCTGGAGCAAACAGAGCTTCCTTTTGTCCCTCTTTCCCTCTTTTGTCCCTGCCCCAACTCACATTTTGTATGCTGATGGTCAACTGTGTCTTAAAGTCACCAAAATCTTTGGCCAGCTCATAACCATGGTGATAGAAAGTGAAGAGTCCTTGCAGGAAGGCCAGTAGCTGTAGAGGGAAGAAATTCAGAGGCACTCAGACAGGGTGAGGGGAGGATCTGAGTTTCCAATGCCATCTGGGAAGTACAGGCAGTAACAACAGACATGGGCAGCTCTGTGGGTAGGATTCTGTCCTCCCAGGCCCTGTGTCACTGAATGCTTACAACCTCCCTAAGTGCTACAAGGACCCACCTTAATCATGAGGAGGCACCTCCAGAGACTAACTTGCTCCCCAGTTCACAGTGAGTGTCAGCAGGAATTTGAACCCTGTTCTCCTTGGCACCAATGTTTACCACTGTCTAAGAACGGCACCTCTTGGGAACTAAAGGCTGGAGCTGCACCTTGGCTGCCTTCTAGAACATTAACAACATCAGGTTGTCAGAGAGATTCATGATAAAGAAGCTGGTGTGCCTGAGCCTATAATCCAATGAGCAAAGTCAAACCACAGAAAATCACCCAGGATAGACTTCAGCCCAGGGGCATTTCTGTGCTTTCTTCAACTTTCCTGCAGTAAACACTAAGAACCCCTTTATGAAATGACACAGACCCCACTGGCTTCTGTTACGCTAGGTCCCTTGACACTCATTTAAATCCCCTAAGGCTAATGGGTGAGCATGTTCCTGGTCTAGTCTCCTGAAAACACTTGCTCACCATAGTTCCCACAGAAGGCCTTCATATTCTCAACAAACATCCTAACGCCCACAATGTTCTTGTTATTTCTTCCCAAGGCTGATAGACAAACCTCCCAGCCCCTTCCCAAGTCCTGCCCAGATTTCCTGCATTCACAGTTTTGACATGAAGAAGGAGGCTACGATAAAAGGTAGAACAAGGCTGAGGAAGACTTGTGCCCTATGTGATCACGGCTGTTTTGGCTGCTGAAGGCACATTTGGGTTTGCTGAGTGGTCCTCTCTGACCTCCAGACACACACAGAGAGAGAGAGAGAGGTACACCACCCATTAATCAGAAATGCATCTATTTTCCTTTGTGCTGTTATATTTAGCCTGTCAGCCCCTCAGTGAACACACCTATACTTATTTTCACCCTCCCCACTTTTCAGAGAGTCAGTTCTCCCGGGGCCTGGGAAGGGATGTCTGCACTTGCTTCTGGCAAAAGTAATTCTCACCAGAGGAGTGCTGCCTTCAGGATAAACCACAGGCCCAGTCCGGCCTACCAGAGACCTTTGTCCTGGTGTGGCCACAATGGCAAAAGTGAGTATATTCTAGAAGAGCTGCTTGTGGCCCTGCCTTTGGCTACCAGACTGCTAGGACAAATTTCCCCAGCAATCTCATGCCAGGAGAAGGAAAGGGTATCTCTGAAACCTGGGGCTGGCTGGGGATTTTGTAAGACGAGGTTCCATACAATTCTGATAACCTGTCCAATCCTTGCAGGTCAGGCTAGAGCTGAGGCTGACAGAGGCAGTACCCCTTGACCAGGAATACTTAGCTATGCATTTACACACACCCCTTGCCTTCTGTCTAAACCTAGACTTCATCTCAGGACCTCAAAGATGGACTTGGAGAGGCAGGTTCACTGGAACTCTTTATTTGTTCCTTTCCCCAGTGTGGCCACACTGAATAAATCTCCTTTTTCTGCTTTTCACAATTACCTTTGCTCCAACTGACCTACTGAGGTCGGGTCAGTAAATCTACATGTTATGGCTAATAGGACCTAGGCTCTGCCCTTAACACCTCCAGAAAGTCAAATAAAACCTACACTGTACTATGATCGTAGCTTGACCTCTCTCTGCTTTGTTGCTTTATATTCTCATGGGAGGTCAGAGGTAGGCATGCTGGCTTCTCTGTCTGTAAAACAATTAGTGGTAGCATATGCCACATATATCCCTGACACAAATCAGTAACTAATTATTAGGGCCCCATAGAACCAAAGGCCAGTAATGAGCTCTTTCTTTCAAAGATGATGAAAGCTTTAGGACTTCCTCTACATTGACAGTTTCCAGAAAGGAAGGCAAATACCCCTTTCCTTCTAGACAACTCCAGAAATAGAGGAGAAGGGCTCCTCTGAAGTCTGAGTACCAAAGTGAAGGCTCCTCTCCCCTCCTCTTCCTCCCTGCAGATGCAACTGGAATGCTGGGCCAAGTACTTCTCCAGACCTGCTCTCTGTTTAAATGTTTCATTATTTTATTGTTTTACCTGTAAGGTATTTTGCCTATATGGACATCTTTTCATCATGTACACACAGAGCCCACAGAGGCCAGAAGAGGACAGGAGATCACCACTACTTGAGTGCTGGGAATGGAACCTGGTACTCTGGAAGAGCAGCCAGTGCTCGAAACTGCTGAGCTACCTCTCCAGCTCTTACACAGCTGCCTTTTAAGAGAGATACTCAAGATGAGCAACTAAACCTAAGGTTGTGGCTGTAAGCTCAGTCATCCTTCACTGGAACTGAACAGCACTTATCTTACTGTTAGCATCCACATTTTCCCAAATAGCTCAACCTACACTACCAAATCCTGTGGAGGCAGAAGAGGGGTGCATGGCTAAGGCTTACACTGGCTTTAAACTCCTTTGGTCTTATTTTTTATAGGAAATATAAAATAATTTATATAAATATATAAAATGATAAACAAAACATGAAAGTAATCTTCTTTGTTTGCTGTTCTTTTAGGACCTTCCTACTCCCCTCACAGCAACTTTACTTCTCCACTTCTATTCCCTTCCATAGGAGGCACAAGACCAGACACGTCACAAAGAAATACTTTCACTCAGACACACAGAGGCATTTCTAAGTCGTGAAATGCCAAGAGTTGTGGGCAAATCGAGGTAGGAGAAGAAAAGAAAGATACATTCCCTATAGGCTTCTATGGAAGCCTGGCCCAGCCAACACCTCGCTCAGACTTCCTCTCTGCAGAACGCTCCTATAAAAGCAGCCTATTAGGAGTACTTTATTTTTTCTTCGTAGGTTGGTTGGTTTTTAAATTTTTAAATTTTTTATTTTTTACAATTTATTCATTTTATATCCTAATTGTATATATTTTATATATACAATTTTATATCCCTCCCTCATCTCTTCCCAGTCCCACACTTCTTCTCTCTTCCCTCCTATCCCCTTTCCTCTAGTCCACTGAAAGGGGGTGTCCTCCTCCCCTGCCATCTGACCCTAGCTTATCAAGTCTCATCAGGACTGCCTGGATCCTCTTCCTCTGTGGCCTGGCAAGGCCGCATCATCATCAAGAGCAGGCAACCAAGTTCATGCCAGAGGCTCCCCTTACTCAGAGACCCACATGGAGACTAAGCTGCCTATGGGCTACATTTGAGCAGGGGATCTAGGTCCTCTCCATGCATGGTCCTTGGTTGATGCATTAATCTCTGCAGGCCCTCTGGGCCCAGTTTTTGTTTTTGTTTTTTTGGTTTTTGGTTTGGTTTTTGTTTGTTTGTTTTGTTTTGTTGGCTTTGTTGTTCTCCTTGTGGAGCTCTTATCCCCTCTGTGCCCTTCTATCCCCCCCCCACAACTTCTTCCATAGACTCCCTGCACTCTGCCCAAAGTCTGGCTATGAGTCTCAGCATCTGCATCAATCCCCTGCTGGGTGGAACCTTTCAGAGGCCATCTATGGTAGGTGAGCACTTAGTTCCAGCCCCAGCAAACCAGCACGGCTACCAAGAATCATTATTCTTGCAGTAGAAGACAGCAAGCTGCAGAGTGAGGAAAAGATGGATTGGGTAAGCCACATAACTCTTTTTACCCATCTTCAGCAGGAAGGCAATAATGGTATGTGTTAGTCCACACAGGTTATGTTGGAAGTCAAATGCAATCAGCAACAGAACAGGCTCTGTTAGCATGCAGTGCTGCAGAAGCTGTTGTGTAATAGAGACAGTCAGAGTGTGTTAGAGGATGCACTGCTGTGAGCAGAGACAGACTGGGCTGGGAAGCCCCATCAGGAAACAAGAAACAACAAGCAAAGAATGAAGTCTTGCGATGGGATAAAAGAATGGGAAAGGAGAAAAAGGTGCAGTGGTATAAGAATTTGTGGTGAAACTCAGAGGGTATGGTACTTAAAAACAGGGGGGTGAGGTGGGGGAGCATTGGACAACTTCTCAAGAGCACTAACCAGCCCTCAGTTATGAAAATTCAAGGCACACGTGGACCATAGCTTCAGCTTCAGGAAGTTAAGGTGTCAGTATCTGCAATCCACACCTCTAAAGCATGCGACATCTCAGCAAGATGATAAAGGCTTCAGGCACACATGCCAGATGGGTGGATGGAAGGAAGGAAGAACACGAAAGTGGGAAGGAGAACGGGAGGAGGGGAGAGACAAATGGTTTCGCTCTCACAAGTCAAACTTCCCTTCCTTAGAACTCACTATAACTGAGGATGCCTGGAAACTTCCAATCCTCTTGCCTCTGCCTCCCAAGCACTAGAACTGCAGGTGTGTGCTACCACATCTGGCTTCTGTGGCGCATGGGATCAAGCCCAGGGGCCTTGTGTATTCTAGGCAATCACTTTACGAATTGAGCTATTTTTCTAAAAGCCAACCACATACATATACCATTAGTTTGAGTTACTTTTCTAAAACACAAGTTGCCAGGGTCAACATGTGTGTAGGTAAGCCTTTCAGGGAACATACAGGCTCAGTGACTGACACCTGATAACCCAGCAAGCTCACTCAGTGGATTCTTGTAGCTTCCTTTCTGCCTGTAACTAATCAGATGCAATTTACAGTAAACAACCAGGCCGTTCCAGCCCTCAAAGTGGTTTTCAAGGTGTTAGAAATTCATATTGTCCTGTTCTATCCCAAGCTTAACATTTAAGGATAGGGCCTGTAATCTGCATTTTAGTGAGCCCCAGGGGGGTGTGCTGCAAGGTGCTGTTGAAGTCACATTGTACTAAAGGACAACATGAAATAAGTCCATGATTTTACTTCTCCACCTTCATTATATGATTTAATTCTCAATAGCATCTGTGAGGGTATGTATTGGTTTTATCCCTATTTTCAGAGGAAGAAATAGAAGCACTTGGATGTAGCCTGCGCAAGCTCCCATCTAGGAAGTAGCAGAGCTGGAACTGTCTCTGCAAATTTCTTAACAAGAAATAAAATGATAGTGCTGAAGAAGAGGAGGAGGAAGGAAGAGAGGAACAGGAAGAAGAAAAACCCAGCCAAATGAGTCAGGCCAAGCCTGAAAAACATGTGTGAAGTAGACATCTATTGTGTATAAGGGTTTTGTGTGCATCCTACTGAGTCAGTCAGAGTTGTCCACAGCAGCAGCATGGGCAATATGCCAGGGTCCCCACCCCGAGAAAAGCTGGGCAGCCATTGACTACCTGATGCTTCTCAACTGGGAGTGGGGCGTACTGCAGGAACATTGACCTTGTGTGGGTCTTCGATAGGCAACCAGGTAAAGACAGAGCTTTTATTTATACAGAGATCCTAAGGTTGAGTCTAAATCAGAGGCCATATTACGGCTGAAGACATCAAAGACCTGATGGTTTAAGCTGAGGCTCTTGTTAGCCCGGCGCCTCCGTGAAGTCTTCCTGCTGTGGATTCCGTGTTCAGGTGCCACTGTAAGCAGAGTGGCGCCACAGCTGACCAGAACCATAACCATGATGGTACAACCTAAAGGTCAGACTTTTTCCCACATGTCACTCTTTCATGCCCAGTAGGGCACTGACCAAGTCTGAATTCTATCATGGTCCCTGAGCAGAATCTCTGTGCTGCTGTTAGCCTATGACAAATTTACTGTGTGAAAATATCTTAAATACGAGTCTTTTTTAGAACTTGACTGGGATAGAGGGAGCTGTGAAGCCAGGGGCAGAATGAGAACACTACGGTGTACATTTCACTGCTTCCTCGGCTAACCCCTACATCTGGATTATTGATGGAAGAGTGGGAAAAGCAGGACTGTCGGACTGTGGTTTCTTTCCTAGGATGATAAGAGCCCTTCCACCCTGGACTCCCACTGGCACATTCCCCCTCCCTGCAGATCAAACAGTGTAACAGCAGGCAGCCAGAGGCAGGAGCAGACGCTGACTGTATGGATGCCATCACTGAGCTATCATGCTCCCAGGCTAGGAAGGGCCCTGCCCCTTAAGGGAAGGCACCGCTCTGGGCCGGGGCTGCTCAGCCCCTCGGCACCACTGCCTGCTGCTAGTCAGATGGAAGTAAACAGCTACTCACAGGCTCTACAAACTCAAACATCTTCCTCTCCTGGACTTCCTGCACCTTAAAGACATACTCCAGGGACACTTCATAGAAATGTTGCCGAACCAGGTCCACTTGGCTGTCTGCCTGCAAATAAGACAAAATTCAACAGGAAACCAAGTCATTACCTATGGAATACACTAAGAAAGGGGAAAATATACAGAGGTGAATTTTTCAAAGAAATCAAACCACATGATACCAAAGAAAAATGGTAAGCTACCGAACAATGCCAAACACTATGTCTATGGACACACACAAGAGAGAGTGATTTCTTTACAACTACAAGTTCCACAAGAGAAGACCCTTAATTTCACTCCCATAAAACACCCATATCCTGAACAGACATCCATAGAAGTACCCAGTAAATATTAACTGAAGAACAAATACTACTTGAACTTCATAGTCGTTGACGAACACACTGTTTGTTAAAATATCCACTAGATGGCAGCATCACTCCACACTGCTGCCCTTCCTCCCTCCTGTGCTGAAGGACTCAAACCAAAAAGTTAGAGTGAAATGGTGGGCGCTCCATGAATGTCACACTGACTTTTCTCTCCAAATTACCTACTTTTTAAAAGAACTTCCAATATTGTTCTTTTAAATTCAAATCCAAGAAAACCAGGAGCAGGTCAGAGAATTTTTTTTCTTTTCTTTTTGTTTTTTCTTTTTTCTTTTTTTGGGGGTGGTACTGGGGATCAACCTATGACCTTACATTCTGCCACTAAGTTTAGCCCTAACTAACCCCTTGTTTTTTTGAGACAGGGTCTCTCCCTATTTAGCCTAGGCTGGCCTTGAACTCATAATCAATCCTCCTTCCTCAGCCTAGCAAGTGCTGGCATTACAGGTTTCTGCCACCATGCCCAATCAAAGGATATTTTCTTAAAAAAAAAAAAAGGTAACGATGATCAAAATACATGTATGACAGTAAAATACTGTTAAAGCTAAAACAAGAAAAAGTATCAAATACTGTATTGAAATAATAAAAAGTTATTATTAAGGAAATAAAGTATGCCAGTCTTGCAAATTACTGATAAGAGGCAGGAGGACAAGCTCATCATAGGTGGGCAACAATGCCACATGAAGGCCAAGGGTGAGAGAAGGACAAGGCAGACCGCAGCCAGAAACGAAGAGGCATACACACAGGAGCTTCTCCGGAGGCAGCGGGCAGCACTGTGCTCCCTGCCACTAGTGGGCTACAGAGCGGGTACAGGGTTGGAGGACGAGAGGGCGTGGCCCTGGAGGAGGCTTCAGGACTGAGCCTTTGCTCCGCTCTCCTTCAGTCCAGGTATCAGCTCACAAGGGGCGATCAGCACGCGTTCCCAGCGCACCATGCATAGATTAGCACATGCGGGAGCTCCACGGTTCCTTACCTCCTGCAGCTGGGACTCCTTCTTTTTGGAAGACAAATTCAAATGCTTTTCTAAGATGCCACAATACTTCTCTGTCTCTTTGTCATACTTCTTTTTGGCCTCCTGGGGAGGAGGAGGGAGAGGGTGAGAATGGAGAAAGAGTTAAGAGGTTACAAGAGTAAGGTAGCTGGATCCCTCAGGACTTTCATACACTCCCAGTGGGCCGCTCCCCCTACCCATGATGATGAAGGCTCTTCAGATGATGTCCACTGAGGCAGGCAACCGTCAAAACGAAAGCATCACTGCTGCCCGCCAAGGGGCTTGTGGTGATGACAGCACGGGACACCCAGGCAGCACAACTCATCGTATGAAAGCCCAGATTGTAACAGACTGTAAAGTAGGGAAGGCATGACGGTGCAAATCTGGTGTGGCCTACAGAAGTGTTAGTCAAGGAAATGGAACATGGAAATTCTTTCCTTGTGTTGAGAAGTTTTTATTAGCTTAAATTATTGTCTAAAAGTAAAAAAAAGTAATAATATACATATCAACCTGTGTTCCCTCTCCCACCAAGTTCTTGAGTCACCAAGGTTCTAATTTTATTCCCCATTTTATAGGTAAGAAAACTCAGAAGGAAGCCAATTTGCAAAATGTCATAGGGAATGACAAAGCTGACATCAAGCTCTGCCCACGCTCTGCCCACTTGAGACACGGTCACAGGCAGTCTCCCTGCTCTTCACACTGCAGTGGGCAGGGCAAGGCAGGCTAGGAAGCCGTTCCAGTCCCACACAGATGCTCAAGTGCACTAACTCGGCATTTTAGTCCTGCTTTTAACTTATCTGGGGCCCAACGGAGATATTTTGTGCAATTCTAAAGCTACAAAATATATATATATATAAATAAAAATTTAAAAAAAAAGTCATTTCCAGTCAAATAAAGAAACCATCTCTCTAGTCACCTAACAAATTCATGATGAGCAATCAGTCTGTCCTAGGCCCTGCTTTGGGCAGTAATTCCTCCTCTCATGATGGGAGTATTCTAGTGGAAAGAGAAACACAATTAACCAGGAAACAAAAAAGCACTGTAATTACAGATTGCTGCAAGAGCTACAAAAAAAAACCAAAAACAAATGAACAAATAAAAAAGGGAAAGGCCTCAGTGGGGAGAGGAGATGATTCAGACCTGCTAAACACCTGAGGAGGCCAAGGGGAAACTCAGAAAAGAGCCAATAGCGCTAATGCCCTAGGGCAGAACACTCTGAGCCAAGGTCTCTGAGATTCCAACATTTATCTGGTCAACAGCAAGATCCTAAGCCTCACAGAGAGCAGAAGTGATCATACAACACTTTGCAGGCAGGAATCCATTCCTATGGATCTGAGTTTGGCTAAAAGCCTAATCATAAGCAAACCATGAAACCAGCAAACATGAATGAAGAAAAGGATTGTAGAAACACTGCCTGTTGGGATCCTTAAGCAGGCATCTTTACTGCCAGCCCTGAGAAACCCGACGAACTGGTTATCAGGCATCTGTGAGGCTACCAGAACACCATCCGCTGACCACCGGAAACTACCTGCACATGCTCTGGGTCACCTTATAAGAGAACCCAAAGCTCCTCCTCTCTCTCTCATTCTCTCCTGCCTCATTCAGAGACAGTCTCTGCGACCCCCACCCCTTCCCCTAATAAACCTCCCACATGGAACTGGTCGCATGGCGTGATTTGTGAACCCGCCACGTAACTCTCTTCCGCACGATTCTATCACAGCCCCTCCAAATCGAGAAAGGCTCAGGCAAGCAATTCTTCTCCATCAATCCACAAGCTTGGGGCTGGGTTCCAACTCCACTCGATGCTCACATCACACACATCCACTCTCAGCCTAGTGGTCAGCAACCCCACAGGGCACCCTAGGACCAGGCAGTGCAGCTGGCCAGAGGTTAGGAAAGGCCAGCCAACATGAGTCACTGGCATTTTGTAACTTTCATGCGACTAGGGCCTCCACATCTATGGCAAATGGATGGAGATGTGAGCAGAGAAAGAAGGAAGGAAAGAAAAAGCAGTAGCCTTCATGCTGGAACGGTGCCAAGGCCTCTGCAGGGAAAGCCTTAGAACACGGTATTCCGTGCCCTGTCTCACTGCTGTCACACAGTAATTGACAAGGGCAGGCCCAGAAAGAAAGGGTTTACTTGGCTGACTTCCATCACGGCAGGGAAGGTTGCGGTCCTGGGAATCTGACAGTTGGTCACGCGTGCATCCAGAGTCAGTGCGGCAGAGGGAGATGAGGGCTGACGCTCGGCTCGCTTTCTCCTTTCCTGCTTTTAAAATATTGTTTTTATTATGTCTATCTCTGTGTGTCTGTGTAGGGCTATATGCGTGTGAGTGCAGGGGCCGTTGGAGGCCAGAAGGTAGAAGTTGAATGCCCTGGAACTGGAGTGACAGGCTGTTGTGAACTATCCAATATGGGTGCTGGGAACTGAACTTAGGTCCTCTGGAAGAACAGTATATACCCTCTTAACTGCTACGCCATATTTTCAGTCCCTGTTATTTTTCAAGATTTAATTTGTGTGTGTGTGTGCACACCTGAGTGCCAGGTGGAGACAGAGGCCAGAAGGAGGAGTCAGATACCCTGGAGCTGAAGTTACAGGTGGTATAAACTGCCCAACACGGGTGCTAGTAACCAAACCTGGGTCCTCTAAAAGAGCAGTACATGCTAAACCATTTCTCCAGACCCTACCTTTCTCCCTTTTTTGTAGTCCAGGACCCGAGCCCAGCAGTGCTGCTGCCTACATCAAGGCAGTCCCTCATAGGCATGCCCAGAGGGCTGCTACCTCTTTGGAGGTTTTTCTATCCCGTCAAGTTGGCAGTGAATGCCACCACAGCAAGGTAGTATTCTCGAGCTGGGGCAGTGCGTTATCTGGGCACTCAGGACTTAAGGTAGTCTCTATCTTCCAGACACACCACTGAGGGCAGATCAAGAAAAGGGTCAAGATCACGGAATATATTCCCAACTCTAGAGGGGCAAATCCTAAGCAACTACCATCACCTTCTAGGATTCAACTTTCTCCTCTACAAACACAGGGGAGTGAGACGAGATCATTGCTCAGGTTTCATCTTCCAGATCTCAACTCTGCAATAAAATACGAACATTTGCTCTTCACAGAGTTACTTGGACTGGATGAGTGAAACTATATGCAGTTACTTAGCAAAGTGACTGGTGCATGCAGAGTACTCGGCATATTTCAGTGATGATGATGAGAAATGACATTGTGGTGCCAATAGTAACGGTGGGGTGACGATGATGGTGATGGAGGCCGCTTGTGGTAGTGGTAACTGTCAGAGTAATGGTGGTGGTGCTTATGATAATGGTGGCTGTAGTGATGCTGATGATTGGTGGAGGTGGTAATGGTGATGACAAATTTTATGTCAACCTGACACAGGCGAGAGCCATTTGTGGAGAACCCCAATTGAGAAAAATGTCCCCAGCAAATTGGACTGTAGAACATTTTCTTGATTGAGGTGGGTGGTGGTGCCACTCCCGAGCTGGTGGTCCTAGGTGCTATAAGAAAGCAAGTTGGGCAAGCCATGAAGAACAAGCCAGTGAGCAGTGTTCTTTCATGGCTTCTGCTTCAGTTCCTGCCTCCGGGCTCCTGCCTTGCCTTCCTTCCCTCACTTCCTTTGGTGATACCTTCTGAAAGGTAGGGAAACTAAACCCTTTCTTCTTTAAGTTGCTTCTGGCCATGGTGCTTTATTCCAGCAATTGGAACTCCGAGAAAAGGGTGGGAGAAGTGGCAATTGTAGTAATGGTGGCGACAGTGCTGGTGGTGGTGGGTGGTGGTGGAGCTGCTGCTGCTGCTGTTGTCACTGGTGATAGTGACACTGATAATGATAATGGTGATAATGGTGATGGCAGTGGTAGTGCTGATACCTGCAGATCAGGTATCTGTCACCTACAAACACTTCCTTTTCATCACATGCGTCATTTCACTTGCAAATGTTCCAATACATCAAAAGTATCAGCTTGATGAAGGTAACCCCCCCCCCCAAGCACATACTACAATTTGGAATTAGAGCTTTGTGTCTAATGTCTTCCTTTCTAGCTAGAACAACCATATCCACTTGTCATTCATCAACCCTAACTGCTGGGCTCTCACATATATTATTATGTGTTTTATTTTTAAGTGTGTGTGTAAGTGTGTGTGTGTGTGTGTGTGTGTGTGTGTGTGTGTGTGTGTGTGTTTATACATGTGATTATAGTGTCCTTAGAGGCCAGAGGGAGACATCAGATACCCTGGAGCTGAAATTACAGGCAGATGTGAGAAATTGTGAACACCCAATATGGGTCCTAGAATGAAACTCAGGTGCTCTGTAAAAGCAAAATGCACACTTATCCACTGAGCCAGCCACCTCTTAAGCCCTTCTCACATACTCTTAGTAATTGGTGTGTATCTCGGGTTATAGCCACAGCAGAATGACTAAATGACACTGTCCTTCTGTTCAGATAGCTATAGGATATGCACTATTTTAGGTGCCTCATTTATTCTTAAGAACCCTGTGGGGTAAAGTATTATTAAAGATGAGCAAATAGAGGTGGGAAGGTTTAGAAACCTCCCCAAGTTCACAGGTGTAAAAGTTGGAACAAGCAATCTAACTCTAAGGCCACTCTTAACCTCTGCTCTCAGATATCTGTTCTACTTATTACAAAGCACAGTGTTACAGCTCTGCCTCCTGCACACAAAAAGCCAGCTTGCTCAATTCAGAAACATAAACTCAGGGCCACAGTTATGTCAAGATCTGAAGGGCCTCTAGCACAAGAATTCCCAGGGGCCCTGTTATGGGTTACTGCTGTCCACCTGCCAAAATCTAGAATCACCTGGAAGACAGGCTTCAACAAACCTATGGGGATTACCCTGCTTATGCTAAATGAGGGGAGAGATGCCAGTCAGAGCAGGATCCTGCACTGTATAGAGAGGACTGGGGAGGAGAAGCAGGATGTATTGCTCTGTTTCTTGGTGTGAATGTGATGTGACCAGTTGTGTCAGGCTTTTACCCCTGTGACTCAGGATGCACTGTTTCCTGGAAGTGTGAGCTGAAAAGAACCCTTTCTCCCTTAAGCTGTTTTTGTAAGGGTATTTGATCACAACAGCAAAAAAGAAACTAGGACAAACTCCCCTTCCTGGCACAAGGACCCCTGTGCAACAGGTTGTTATAGCAACCAAAAAGCAGCAGCAGAAAAGAAAGGCAGCAGGAAAAGTAATTTTAGCATCAAATAAGTTCAGGAACAAGACACTGTCCAAACCAGGCAAAGAGCTCCGAGGGCTCCTTAGTTGACTCTGAGGGCTCCCTGGGTTGCCTTTAAGCTTTGTTTTTTTTTTTCTTAAATTTACATAATACTGTGATATAAATGTACAAGTGAATGGAGTGGTAGAGAGGGAGATATAATAAAAAATAAAATAAAATAAAATAAAAAAACATGAGACCCACTCTATGGGAGAAAGCCAACTCCTAACACTATTAAAGATACTCTGCTATGCTCACAGACAGGAGCCTAGCATAGCTGTCCTCTGAGAGGCTCCACCCAGCAGATGCTGGGATTCACAGCCAAACATTGGCTGAAGTATAGGTAGTATTGTACAAAATAGTGGGAAGGACAGAAGAACCTCCACAGGAAGACTAACAGAGTCAACTAACCAGGGCCCAGGCTGATGCAGTTTTCAGACCTTCACCCCAACACATAAGAGCAAAGTTTGCAAAATCCTCACCCTGGCAGCCCCGATCTGCTCCTTCCGAAACTTCTCCAAGGGCGTGATGAGCACCTCACTGGCATTTTCAATCTGATGAAGAAAAGCAAAGGGCAGGGGGAAATGCCAAGATTAGTAATGAACTACAGCAGCTCTTCCACATATGTTCTTCCAGCCCTCCCAGTATGTCACTGGACAACAGCTCCTTAAAAGAGAATCTACTTGGAAGCTCCAAATGTGACCTTCTTCCTGTGAAGAGTTTGATATTGTTGGAGAAAGTCTCACCGTGCAGTGCAGCCCAGGACAGCCTGGAACTTACAATCCTCTCAACTCCAGCCTTCCAAGGTTTAAATACATGAAACCAAATGGTAGGCAACCCTTTATAGGCTATAGGGACCTGGTAACAGAGGCAGTATTAGTTTTGGGCTTCAGGTGACATAAATTCACCATTCACGCAAGCTAGAGGCAAAGTACATTTATAGTGAGTCTCCGTTAAAAAACAAAACACCTTTGGACATCTTCTATGGAAAAGATCCTCCAGAATGATGAGTTACCTTAGGGAATTAACTGGGGCTAAGACCTCTGCATTCTACAGGGCTCAGCCATCAGTTCCCACAATCTGATTCACTGTCATACCAATGGATCTCAAATGCACCAAATCTGCCCTATCTCGTGACCATTGCCTCTGGCTTTTCCAGCTGATGCACTTATACAGATTGTAATCAAGGCTTCAGCTTAAAGTTTGCTTCTCTGTGGAGGCCTTCCCTGACCCCCAAAACTAATTCAGAGAAGCTATCTGTCAACCCAGCCCTTCAGAACACATATATGCCAGGTAGTTTTCTGGCTCAATACTATCTACAGACAAATACAACACCCTTTAAATACACACTCATCCCCCAGTGTTCCCAAAGCACCAAAAAAAATCAGAAACAAAGGCATACTCAAACACTTCTGAATGACCAAGTGAGTGAATGAATGACTTCTTGACAAACTGCCAAGTGTGCGACCATGAACAAAACATTTAAATTCTCTGGGCTCTAATTTCCTAATCCAAAGAATGCAGGGGCTAAATTGTTCCAGCTCTAAAATTCTACAGTTCTTTCTAAAGCAGCACAATATTTTACAATCTTTACTCATTGCTCACTCTTCTCTCAACTAATTATCTCAGGAATCTCAACTTCAACAAAGCATTATTTTCTCTAAATCATATGCATGCCCTTCACAATTGCAACAACACAGTAAATGCTAGAGGCTCTTGCCGGACACAGGAAAGAACTGCCTGGATAGTGTGAAGGACAGAAAACGGGCAGGTCTTCCTTTTCTTTTCTTCCATTTGCCTGTTTCCTAATTTTGAAAGCACTCGCCTCTGCTGCAGAGTACAAGTTAACACCGCAGTGTGGCAACAATAGTAAACTTATCTGATCTTTATCAACAACTGGTATTGTTTAATTAGTTTATGTAAGTCCTTCCCATAAACCAAATGGGAGTTTCTGAAGTTCGCAGAGGTGTACTGAGCCAGCTGATGAGTGGTTTCCAACTTTGGTTGTATGTGAGAATCCCTATAGGGGAAGGGGGAGCTTTTACAATCTCAGTAGCCAGGCCACACTTTAGACCAACAACACAATCTCTGGTACTGGTCACAGACATCTGCACTTGTAAAGTCCCCCAAGTTATTCCAGCAGGCATCCATGCTGAGATTCTAGTCCTAAGGAGACTCAGCTGCTCATGAGGGAAGCAAGACAGGTCCTCATCCCAGTACTCTAAGCACTATCTTGTCTAGTGTCAACAAGACCTGTGTTCTTATATATCAGATGAGAGGCTACAGACAGTAAGGAGTAATTGGACTGACGGTGGGACAGGGAGGGCCATTCTCTGCCCTCAAGGAACTCATAGGCACTAGCCACACAGATGCCCACAGTAATCATCCAGACACATGTGGTAAATGCAGAATCCAAGGAATGAGCCAGATGCCCAGATAACACAATGGCTGGCCAAATATCCCAGAGAACCATGGCTCCCCCAAAAGGGTACACTTTGCTGAGCTGAGCTGATGATAAAGCTATCCCAGGGTGGGAAGAGGCTTGTGACAGCCTCTTCCGATGTAGAGGGTAATAATAAAGTTGCAGAGACAAGTTGAAAAAAGTATAATCCAGTCATTGTTCCCCTACCACAGGCCACAGGAATCTGCAGGGTATTCATGGTGATTTTCTTACCACACTCCCACTCCCAAATATTGACATGACTGAGAATCAGACTCAAAAAATCCGTTTCCATTTCTCGAGCACTAATGTGTGCACACTCAAGCTTTCACATACCCATCTGCCCACCACCACACCTGCCACTGCCACTAATGCTCCAACTTGGGTTCAAGAAAACAGCAATAGGAAATCAGAAGGCGGGGGAGTCTCTGCCATGAAAAGAGTGGGACCTTCTGTACTCAAGAGTTTTAAAGAAATTCCCACATCTTTTGGTATAATGTCGATATGGATTTGAACCAAGACTGCAGTTTATTAACCATGTGAGCCTGGGTGAGCAACTTGGCTCCTGTAAACCTCAGTATCTTCATCTGGAAAATGGGGATGATACAGATGGGACTTCAGAGTTATCACAGGAGCTACAGAGAACAGGTCAGGCTCTGGCTGTACAGTGTCTGGTAAGGGTAATGCTCCACTTTTGGAATCCTTCTGGCTCAGCCTGTCCGGAAATGAGCCCCTATAGCTCACCCCAGGTACAAGGCCGTACACAGCCTGTTGGGGGCTTTTGTTCCCACTCCTGCTGCCTGGGGGATGTAGGAAATGTAGAGAGCCTTTGCCCAGCAAAGGCTTCACAACAGGCACTAGTTTGAAAGCACTACTTTGGAACCTAGAGGCCAGCATCTGCTTAAATTTGCAGAGTATCTATGTCTCTGAGGAGCTCCCACAATCACATTCCTGTGCCAGGTGACATTTTCTGGGATCAGCTATGTGGCAGGTGCCTTGTGATTGGAGGTGTGGCAAAAACTCAGTGATGTCTTCCCTCAGAAGGCTATGGACAGGGCTAAGAAGGCACAAAGACACATGCTTTTTCCTTCCTCCTGATTCCTGAAAGTTAACTCAGTCAAAGACATCACTCTAAAATCTCTCTCTCTCTCTCAGTGTGTGTGTGTGTGTGTGTGTGTGTGTGTGTGTGTGTGTGTGTTGTGCTGCTTCTACATGTGTGCATGTGTGCCAAAGGTTGACATCAATGTTACATCTCAGGTATCTATCCACTTTTCCACCTTACTTTTTGAGAGTCTTTTATTGAATGTGGAACTCACCAATTTGGCCAGAACAACTGGCTAGCAAACCATAGGGATTACAGGCATGCACCACCAAACCCAGCTTTTTATGTGGGGGCTGGGGATTTGAACTCAGATTCTCCTGCTTATACAAAGAGTACCTTACTGACGGAATCACCTCCCCAACCTACAGTGAATGTTGAGGACAGTGATGCTCTTCAAGTTATGGACCAGTAATTGTTTTAACACTCACAGAAACCTTCAAAGTCTGCAAAGGTTCAGAGCCTCAGAGTACTCCAGAGGCAGAGTCTGGCCTTAAACCTGGATCTTCTGACAGGAAATTCCTTGTTCTCTCAATGTACACAGACTGTCTAGAACTGAGAACAGCTCTGGATACTCACCATGCGACTCCGCTCATCCTCAAGATTCCTGAGAACACTAGCAAATTCTTGCAAAGATCTCGCTGGAAGAAAGAAAGAGGTCATGAAGCGAAAGCAGGATGATGGGTGTGCATGAGCAACTTACAATTTAAATTCCTTTCATACACACAGAAGCCCAAAGATGTCAGATTCCCTCATCTTTTAATCATTTAGTAAGACAGGATGGCCCAGAAATGCAGGTCAATTGCACCTGGAACACCAGCTACAGGATTTCTCCAAGGAAAAGCCCCACCTGTTCCTGAGAGTTTCTAGGACTGGTGAGGTACTGGCAGGCTCCCAGCCTTGAGGCTGGAAGGGGCATAGTTCCAGAGTTGAAGGATTTCCTGTGCAGGATTCAAGCTCTTCAATCTTTGTTGCTGGGTTGCGTCGGGATCGAACCTTTCTTTTGGTGTGACAATTAAAGGGATAGTTCTGTGCACAACAGAAGCCACATCTCTGGCATCCCCTGGATTCCTTCTCCCTGAGTTCTGAAGCCCCTCCTTAAGAGAGTGCAGCCTGCAGCACAGCAGGCAAACACAGATGGTCTTTACCAGAATCTTTCATGAAGGCATCAGGCACTTAGTGGAGGACCCCTGAGGACAGTAGGATACTTAGGCAATGCTGGAAAGGCCTTGAGACTTGCAACAAGAACACATTTTCATTGCTCTCAGCTACTTTCCAGCTGTCTGTGCGCAAACCCAAACCCTGTTGCTCAGCTTGACAACAGACTCAAAAAAACATCTAATGGGTTAATGAGCAACCTTAAGTTTATCAATTCTTTTTATTTCTTATGCCTCACATATACTAAGCACATCCTCTACCCTGGGACTACAATCCCAGCCCCAACTTTTCTTAGTTCTTCCTCCCTCTATGGCATCTATATGCCCAATATAAGGGAAAAAAAAAAAGAATATGAGACCCAGCAAAGTGATGAGTCTTGACTGTGCCCATGCTCTGTGCTCAGAGCTGCCTGTACAATAAAGCAGGGGACAGTTCTTTACTGGGAATGGTGATATATAGGAGCTCATCTCAACCTCTCAGTAAGGAAACTAAAGGAGAGAGAGCTGCAGACACAGGGAGCTGGCAACTGAGCCCTGTTCCTGCTCTGAAGGCAGTGACAGTTACATGGTTCCAGCCAGAATGGAAGGTCACTCAATCAAATTTGTGAACATTTGAAAGATAAAGAAACAAAACCAAAACAAAACAAAAACCTAGAACTTGACATAAACTCAGCTTACACACTAATTCCGTTTAAAATATTCAACTAAAACATAGTACTATTCTATCTCAGTCCATCAGCTAACACTGTGCAACCTTAATCCACATTAGCTCTTGCCCTAGGTTCTTAGTGCTGTGGTTGGATTAAGGGGGGGGAGGAAGGAAGGAGAGTGCCACAAAACCAGCCAGAAGAACACGGAAGGAAGGTGGGCTGGAGCTTCTTCCTGCCACTGGACAGGGAGTGAGGCCAGCACAGGAGAAGCCCATCCTGACCCGTGCATCTGTGCTGTTCCACTACTCACTGGGTTCCTGCCCTTACTAGTCTCACAGGCTCCTAGCCCAGGTAAAGGCTTGCTGCCATGAACAACAGATGTTTTCATCTCCCACGGCTTATGACTTACCTATACACATCTCATCATCTGTTTCTGCATCTCCTATACACTGGAATTTAAATTCATTTAAGGAATCTGCGAACTTCCGCTTTGCCGAAGACAAATCTAATAAGAAAAAGAGGAAAACACAAATTATTGAAATTAAACTGGCCTTCCTAGTCATTGCCCTTCTGAAGTCCTTCTGCCTATACTCAGCAAGGTTTGTTCCTCAGACCATTTCACAGAAGAAATGTTAACTCAAAGTAATAAATAACTGCTTATATAACAGTGCTTTATATACTTATATAAGTACTTAAGATACTTTGCACAAAGTATTAATTTGCTCTAGAAGTTAGCATTTTTATTGCAGTTGCTCTAACAATTCAAATCCTATGGGATGGAGATATAGCTCAGTGGTAAAGTGCTAGCCTAGCATGCACAAGGCCCTGGGCTTGATTCCCTGTGCTACAATGCATGTATGTTCATGGGAATCTCACACTTCAGGGCACCAAGGAAGAAGCCTGGCTCAGAAGCAACATCAGTATCCCTAACGTATAGGTCCATGCTGCCAAACCCTCCCCGTGTGATTCTGTAACACATTCAAGGCCCACGTTCTCAGACCCTCTCAGACCCATTCTCTTTAGCCCACAGCTTGTCATCCCATCTGAGCCGGTTTCCAGTCTCCCGAAGAACTAAGCCCTGGCACTGTTTTTGTATTGGGATTTTCTTAAGAAGCCAACCCCACACATGGTATCTATAATGAAAACTCTCAGGGGCCCTTGTCAAATTTAAAAACTAAACTTTCCTTTAAGTCAGCAATAAAAGTCAATGCTCCTTCCTGAGCCCTCAGCTTCTGTTCAGGGCATAAAATCACCAAGGTACCTTTAAGTGGCCTGACAGACAAGGCTGCTCACTACAGCGTGCTTAACTTAATTCCACATGCAGCCTTCCTGCAGATTAGGCTAATTATTCAAATTACCATCTATCCAGGCTTCTCTCATTGAAGGGGAAATGGCATTAAGTTCGAACTCCCAGTGGAGGGTAACAGGAGGCATAACGTAACAAGGCCTGGATTTAATAAGATGGAAGGTTCTGGCTTTCCGGATCAACATGACTTGCTAAATAAAAGCATCCCTTCCCTCAGTTGAAGGTTATTTAGGTTGTTTCCATTCCCTAGCTACTGTGCAGTAGAGCAGCAATGAACACAACCGAGAAAGTATCTGTGGAGAATAGGATATCAAGTCCTTCCAACATATGACTGGAGTATTCGAGCTGGGTCACATGGTGGATTTATATTTTAGCTTGTTTCAGACACACATACACACACACTATATATACATACGCATATATATATATATACACACACACATATACTGTATGTATCATACTTTGTGTGTAAATGACTGTCATGTACACACATCATACATATATACATACATCCATCATTAAATAAAAAGAGGTCATGAATTTGAGAAAAATAAGGAGGGCTCATGGGAGGGACTGGAGGGAGAGGAAGGAAGGGGAAACAGGAGGTAATTATATTGCACTTCTCTCTTTTGCTCCCATTTTCTCTCTTAATGTTAAGGGTGATGATTCGCATCATTCGATTGTGTTTGGTTTGGTTCTTCTCCTAGTATTTGCAGTGCAATCTGCTTGAAGTGTGCTGAACAAAGGACACAGGGACCCTAGGGTCCCTTCTGAGCCAGGCTGTTGGTAAAGGGCACTGGGCTCAGCAGGCGCGGCTGTCCTCAGTCTGGAGCTCAGGCTACTGAAGAGAGCCTGGCCCACCTTCCACAGCTCAGCTGATGCGGATCCTAAGCACAGCACCCTGTTCTGCAACACAACAGGAGGCACTTGGAGGTGGGAGAGGAACACAGGACCCAGTTTCAAATCCCTCCCTGGTACAGACGTTCACGGGAAGAGTACTTAATAAGTGTCCAAACATGACAGTAGGGAACCAGGCTTCTCTCAGAACTGGCCTCTCGGGCAGAGGGTCTCCTTCAGAACAGGGTTCCCGCCTGGCAATCCTGAAAGTCAGAACACCGTGGGGAGGAAGGAAACTTGAGACTCTGGACAGGCAAGAGGGGGAAAAGAAAGGATGTTATTTCAAAATGGAAGGAGAGAAGGACCCTGGGAGCCCCAAAGCACCCCCAAAGCACAAGCACAACAAATGTGATGAGTACGGCTGCACACAAGTCATATTTCAGCCCAAATGTGCCCTCAGTCAGAACTCACAAAATAAGGTCTAAGCGAAGAGTGTGAGCGGGTCCCTTCACCTTCTGCCTGGCAGGCCTCTGCCTCCCCAACAGGACGAGAAAGAGTTATGCTGACAATCACCTTAACAAAGTAGAAAGAAGTGCAACGCAGACTAAATTTGGGAATGCTTCCAGGGTGCACCTGAAAGGCTGTGCTGCCAGTGCTGCCAACAAGGATGAAGTGCCAGCTCCTAAAGAACAATGGGGCCTCTGTGGGGCCTTCTAAAGGAGGGCTACCTTGCCAGGTTACAGGCAGAAGGTAACCTGATGTCACTGTCTGGGCCCCACAGCAGATGAGAGGCTAGATCTGGGCCTGGTGGAATATGAGGTAATGAGCTGTGATGCAGTCAATACAGGGCTCTGGGCCAGGGAGGACAGCTGAATGAAATGAGAATTCCAGAGCCTGGAACCTGGAAAGGAGCTTACCTTGGACCTAGCACAGAAGTCTTTCAGGGAAACTACAGTAGACACCTGTTGTTTGCCTTGCTCAGAATCTGTGTCTGGCCTGAACCGCACTGCCTTCAGCTTATTCAAGGGAACTACGCTTTCCTTCTTGAATCCTAGGAGGCACTGGTTACAGACCAATCAGTCCCAAACTCTTGCTTCCATCCTAACTCACTTTGGATCCTGGGTTCCAGTTCCAGACTACCTTTTTTTAGCTAGCTATGTTAACTGACCCCAGATATAATCATGAAGTGTCAGTCATTGGATGGAGCCTGGGGATCATCCCACAGATGAGAGAGACCTACTATATAAGCATTTTGCACATTTGTGACTCATCACTCCTCTGGATTGAGGTCCCTGGAGTACGTGGTGACTCCATACAGCTCAAACCCTTTAACATAGTCCCTCTGTGGTATTTGGGACACTGGTGAAGAAATAACATAAGAATATTCAAAATTCACTGCTTCTTAAAAGGTATATTGGTATAAATCATCACTCTGGGCATAAAGCTCTCCAAAGGTATATTGTTGAAAATTCCACTTCTACATAAACAAGACTCAAGCATGTACATTCCAATAAGAAGGACTGAAGGGCTGGGGCTGGGTGAGTGCCATGCATCACGCTCCCTATTCATATAACCTCGCTGGGTCATGTTCAGGCAGCACAAGACCCAGGAAGGAGCAAAACAGAGTCGGTAATGTCCAGTTTGCATAACTCCTGTCGCAGAGCAGCAGGATGCTGGCAGGGCAGAGCAAAACTACCACTGCCTGCATCTAAGAAATACAAAACCCGCAAGGAGACAAAGAAAATAAGAATATAGAAACAGCTACCAGCCTGGACCTTGAGAAATTGCTCCCCAAACCTTCTACTCACTCAGGCCGGAGGAAGGTACCCTCCCCCTCCCGAGGTTAACAAGCTCTGCCTCAGCAAACATTTCTATGCATAAAAATAGAGGGGCTTTAACCCAAGCATGATGCTTCTTTAAGATAGAAGGCATGTCATCTTTTTTTCAAACACCTTAGACAACCACCTTAATTTTACACAGCTTATCAGTGAAATCACAGTCAATCTCCCTCCTTGGGTAAAATGTAATGTAGTTGTGCACACACGTGCACATCCACATAATAAAGAACTCAAGGTAACCTTATAATTACTTTTCATTTGGGCATTTCTGTGCCCTCAGAGTTACTCTAATTGCATCTAACTACCCTTAGGAATTTCCATTAGTCAGACCTTTCTCTCCAGATGCAGAAAGTGATTGCAGTTCCTAACAGCAGACTCCTGAGATAAGAACTTGCTAGGACTTGGCCTCTCGGCTAAGGAAAGCTCAAGAACAGCAAAGTTCCCAGGCCTTACCTGCTAAGGTTCCCCTCCTCTGCCTTATCACCCTACATTTGGAAGAATTTTGAAGCCATTGCCTGAGTAATTTTATCTCCTAACACACAAAGGACACCTCAGGTCCCTAAGCAGTCACCTCCAAAATGTCCTATGCTACCTTGTTAGGACACAGCGGCACAAGCCAGCTTCCACCAGAGAGGACCCACCATGAGGACTGAGAGAGAGAGAGAGACATGGTTCCTGAAGAACTACCATTTACTCTTCATCTCCACCCACAAGGGAAGTTCTAAACAGTCAAGTTCAAATTCTTCCCCCCAGATACAATTTTCTATAAAGATCAGCCAAGGGCAAGGATGGTCTCTCTGTCTTGGCACAAAATTTGACACCTGCTTGTCAACTTCATGCACAGTATCTGTCTCCAATCCTGTCTATTCCGTCACAAGAAGCTCTTCATTTGGCCAGCTCTTCCCATAGCCTTTAATGGCCACCATCCCAGACAAATATTACTATTTGCCTTCATGGTTGCCCCCGCCTGCTCTTTGCTTTCCCCATATCTACTTCCATCCGTATGGCAAGTTCTCTAGCCAACTATGTCAGCCTTGTGATGCCTAGAGAGAAAATGAGAGGCCCTCTCAAGGCTTGAAATACCATGAGGATGCAACCTACCACCTCCTAACCCGGGTTCCAGCTGCCCTGGCCTGGACAATTCCTACCACTCTGTCTACAGCTCAGAAGTTCCTTCCTCCAAGAATCCTTCATTGGCTTTTCTAAACATCCCAAATCTCACCTTATTTTTCACTCCCTGAATACTATGCAAATCCCCCTTCATAGAAATCTGTGTTGGTTCCTGTATGTGGAAGAATAAGCGGTTTACTGTTGGCCATGATTTAAAGTAGTGAATTGTTACCCTAGCAGGGTAGTATCTCTTGGTGCCTCTCCCTGATCCCACCAAAACTCAGCTCAAGCCTGGTTTGAATGTGTACTACAGAAGGAACAATGGAAGAGAGAAGTGGGGTACTCCACAGAGGCACCAGCCTTCACTGAAGGTCAATCTTCCAACTCTATATTGGATGAGGGGGGAAGATTAAG